GACATCTCAAGGCGTTCCTCGTATCCTCGCCAGTGGTATGGACACCGGACCACTCCCACCCCTTCCAACTACAAATTGATGCCAGTGGGGTGGGTATTGGTGCGGTCTTGCTCCAAAAAGACCCTCTGAGCGGCATTCTCCATCCAGTCGCTTACCACTCGGCCAAACTCAAGAAACACCAGAGCTCCTATGTAACCTCCTTCGTGATCCCACTGCGGAGGTCTTACGGGGGGGGAATTGTTACGGTCACACCATCACCTGCACGCCGTAACAACCCAACACCCCAACCACCACCTCATCAAGCACCATCCACTATCCGGACAACACTCATCAACCACCAACCAGCTCACCCTCCATTCTCCACCAACCAGCTCGGCTTCGTTCGGTCAGCTTTCCGAATCCCGGAACTGTTTCACTGGCCAGGAAGCCGGCGAATCAGAGGTAATATAAGGAGGTGCAGCAGACATGGAAGGCAGATCGCTTTTGCTCTCTCAGTGAACCATCGCTCTCTTGGATACTTTTACTACAAAGGGATTACCATCATCTCCGGCACTACCGCAAGTATAAGTGTTATACTCCCCCCATGTCTTAGTGTGTCTCGGGACTTATTTAGTTAGGTTTCTTGTATATATTTGTGTATGTGTTTTTGTTCATTTCATGTGTTTTGGTGACGGGTTATTTAGATTTGTGTTATTAAAGTAAGTGTCAGTTACTTCCCCTTTGTTTTCCCCCTCAAGTTTTTGTTTTTGTTTGTTACGGCTCTGTGCTCTTCTCTAGGCACACGGTAAAACGCACACGGGGCGTAACAATTGGCGAACGTGACAGGACCCCTTTTAAAGTCTTATCCCTCCTTTTCTATAACAACCCATTAACGTAACATTTGTTCTTCCTTCGGTGTTCATCAGTGTACGGTGGTGGTGTTTTCTTTTTTTTCTGTGACTATGCGCGGTGTAATTTAAATTTACCTTTGTGTTCTATACATTTGCTCCATGTGTGGTTAAAAAGTCTTGTGGTATTAACAGATTGGTATTACACTTCGATAGTTAGCATAGGAGAGTAGGTAAGAGGTAGGTTCACTCATCGATAGCACTTATCATATTTTTTGCACATAGGCAGGTGTGTAATAGGTGTTATCCAAGTGTTGGGATCATCTCAAGGTCGTTTGTACACTCTTATTTCAAGGTCGTTTGTACCCTCAGATCCTCTCACTTCGCGGATCCTTTTTTTCACTAGTAATCTTGGTCGATTAACTAGTCTCATATTTATCCGCCTCTCAAGTCTCACGTTCAAGTTCCAGTACTATTCACTCCTCAAGTCTCGTAATTTAGAGCATCCGGATCTGTTCTTAATGCCGTAATCTCTATTTTACATCCCTCAGTGAAAGTACTCGTAAGTGTTTACTTAAGTATAGTTCAGTTAATTTTCCAAGGGTTGCTGTAACTATCACTCTGCCAAAATCCTCACTTAAGTAAGTCACTTACCTTGTTAAGCTTCAAGCTTTTCATTTTTCTTTGTTCAAGTTTTATTTTATTTTGTTAGCATGGCTCAATTCAATGTAAATGATTTTTGTGCCTCTCCTTCACTAGACCAACTTAAAACTCAAAATATCAAGAAAGATGATTGGAAAACCATTGCTAGGCACTTTAAAGTGCCGATTACCTCACAAATGACTAAGGAGATACTCAAAAATGTGGTGATCGAATACTTAGTGGATAATAACATCTTGGAGCAAGAAGCTATAGAGGAGCTTACCCCCATGTCAGCTTCTAGGATAACCAAAGTTCCCATTTCTCCTATAGAGTACGACAGGATTGTAGATAGCCAGTTAGAACTGGAAAAATTAAAGCTAGAATATCAGTTAAAAATGCAAGAGATGCAGTTACAGGAAAGACAGGCAGAAAGAGAACTAAATGCACAGAAAGAGAGGGAGGAAAGACAGGCAGAAAGAGAACTAAATGCACAGGCACAGGAAAGGCAATTAGAATTTCAGTTACAAATGCAGAAAGCTCAAAGGGAAGACAAGGAGTTAGAGATTCGGGTGTTAACTGCACAGAATGAGTCAAAGTTCAGACAGGAAGAGATAGATTTAAAGAAAAAGCTGTCGGCTTTTAACCCTGCTATTGCCGCGCCTCTAGTTCCCACTTTTGATGAATCAGACGTTGACGGGTCATTTAAAGCATTTGAGAGCGTAGCTAGACGTAATGAATGGCCTAATGATCAGTGGGTATCTCTCCTTATCCCAAAACTCGTAGGTAAGGCTTACAGGGTATACAATAGTCTTGATCAGGCTAATTACGAAGACATAAAAAAGTAGTATTCTAGATGCTTACTCTATAACTCCTGATGGCTACAGACAACAGTTTAGGAAATACCTAAAGCCAGATTTCCACACATATGCTGAATTTGCAAGTGAAAAGTTAAGACAATTAAAGAAATGGCTCGATACGACTAACACCACTACTTTCTCTGGACTGGTAAACTTGATTGCAATGGAGGAGTGGAAGAACAAACTACCTTTTAGTGTCCTGAGACATGTTGAGGAGCGGGGTGAGTGTGAGCTTATACCTGCAGCCAAAGTGGCTGATGCTTATGCCTTGCTGATGGAGTCCTTGGGTAGTAGAGATCGTGGTTCACATTATGTTAGGTCCTCTTCTGGGGAAAGTTTTGGAGGCGTGGGTGGTAAGCCGACCGGTACATCAAGCGCTAACTATGCCATGTATTGTACTTATTGCAAGAAACCAGGTCACACTATTCAAAAATGTAGACATCCTAATTGTAAAGGCTCTCAAAGTCCAAATCCATTTGTGCCTTTCAAGTCAAACTATGGACCTAAAAAACCAGTTGCCACGGCCAACATTGCTAACTCTCCCCACCAACTTTTCCAGCCATACATTTTTACTGGTAAAGTCTCCCTGACTGATAGCGAAAACAAGGTATTCCCAATACAAATTTAACGTGACACAGGTGCTGCTCAGACCATCATGTGTAAAGATGTCATCCCTAACATAACCACTGCTTATACTGGTGATAAAGTAATCCTTTCAGATCTTTCATCTAATCCCTCATATCCTTTGGCTAATATTAATCTTCAATGTCCTCTTGTCACAGGAAAAGTTCAAGTAGCCATCAGATCTGATAAATTACCAGTGTCAGGAGTT